TTGCCCACATACATTCCCGATTTAGACAAAACTAGTTTGTCCGACTCAAAGACCATGCGGAAGCCATGCTTGTTCAACAACGAACCGGAAATCAGGTTTTTGCGTATTTCTGGAACAAACAGCACTTGGTTGAGAGTCAGCTCCGTGCCCGAAGTCATCTTCAGGACCACTTTTCTCACGCCTTCAACCGCGGAATGAGCCGAGTTACCCATCCACACTTTCTCACCATTTGATGGCTCAAAAGTTGTGAATAACTCCCAGTTTGAGCAAATGTGCCAGGTTGCACCGGTGTCCACAAACCACTCCTTGGAATTAGATCCAACGAGGTTGACTTCCGTAACCACAGACGCTAGGATGATGTCTTCATCCTTTTGCCCACCTTGCACCAAGTTGACTTGGGAGTCTTTCCTCTTCCGTGGTGCCTTGCAATCCGAGGACTTGTGTCCATTCTTGTTGCAATTGAAGCATTTTCCATTAAACTTTGTCTTGGAAACGCCTCCCTTGGGACCGAGCTTGGTCTTCCCATTATTCTTGGTTTTGGAGCCTTTTGCATGCTCCACCATGTTTGCCTTGGCGCCATGAACAATTGGGAGTTTCCCATCGTTCCTCCGGTTATCCTCTTGAATCCGCAGACGGAGGATCAATTGCTCCAAGTTCATTTCCTTTCGCTTATGCTTAAGGTAGTTCTTGAAATCCTTCCAAGCCGACGGCAATAAATGGATAATTGACGCCACTTGGAAAGACTCACTAACTGTCATTCCTTCATCTCGAATTTCGTTGAAGATCATTTGCATTTCCTCAACTTGACTCAAGACCGTCTTTGAATCCACCATTTTAAAATCAAGGAATCGAACAACAACAAATTTCTTTGCGCCGGCATCCTCGCTTTTATATTTGTGGTCCAAAGCATTCCATAGCTCCTTAGCCGTAGCTAGTTTGCTATATACGTCGTACAAAGCATCATGCAGCCCGTTCAACACATAGTTTCGGCAAAGGAAGTCCGAATGCTTCCATGCCTCAACCGCGTTGAAAGATTGCGCATCCACCTCACCCCCGGTTGCTACCGGCGCATCCTCGGTCAAGAACCTCGCAAGACCGAGAGTAGTGAGATAGAAGAGCATCTTTTGCTGCCACCTCTTGAAGTTTAACCCATTGAATTTCTCGGGTTTGTCCACAGAGTTGGTTGGCACGGTCACCATAGGGATAGCCCTTTGGTTGGCCAAAGCAGATGCACCGCGTTGTGAACTATTGTTCACCGGTGCTCCGCTTTCAGAGTGATTGTCGTTCAGAAGATTCTGCTCAACACCAATCTCGTTTTCTTGAGAAGTCATTTCCGTTTCTTAACGTTTTCCGAAAACACAAAAAAAATAAGTTCGTTCACCAAAGTGACAAACTACGATTTAAGATTGTTTACCACAGTAGAACAATCCGCAAATACGTTTTAAGATTGTTTACCACAGTAACACAATCACAAATACGTTTTAAGATTTATGGGTGTGTTTCGGAAAATAAAGGAAATTAATTAAAATTAATTAATTAAATAAAATGACTAGAGAAAAACAAGAAAGGAGATGAAGCATAATTAGTCAAAGCTCGTGCTACGCACGATGTCCTTAAAACGTATTTGTTTCCTCCCACGGTGCTAGGAGCGTTGCAACAAACGTTTCTCAGGATACGATGACTACGAACTAATGTTTGAGCACACCAACAAGAGTTGCAGCGAACGAGAACCAAGTATGAACACAGAAGGAATTTGCAGAGTAGCTCAAGAAAACGTGAGGAATGTATTGTGCTTTGTCAAACCGTGTTTGTTGCAAAGCACCTGCCAGCCTTTTATAGGAGGATTTGTTGTGTGTTAAATGGGGTGTTAATGGACCTGAACGTTGGACATCAATGACCAGTCCGTTGGGCATTGAATCATCCATAAACTGTCCATTTAACGCTGCATTAAAAGACAAGAACGTTGGGCATTTAATGGCTGTAACGGCTTGGAGCAGTTCTGGTGCGCGATCAAAATACCCCCATCAGAGTTGGAGCAACTCTGATGCAAAGCCACCAGAGTTGGAGAGTCTCTGGTCCGAAGCCACCAGAGTTCGAGCAACTCTGGTCCTGGGAAAAATAAAACGTTACGAGAAGAAACAAAAATTAGACTGTATCTTTGAGGACAACATTCGTGTCCACAGGTCGCCCGCGCACACGAGTCGTGGTTTTTCTTCTCCGTTTCGGGATTTGATCGGCACCCCCCTGCGCGTAAGAGAGAGCTTTTACCCTTAGGAATCTTAATTGCTTAAAAGAGGCTTCCCTTTATAAGGGGGTGAAAATCCCTTGAGTTTTTCGGTGTGAGATAAAACACACTAGAAACCCATCATTTTCCCAGTTTTCCATTTCAACGAGTGAAATTCGAGAATCACTTTCTCATTTACCCGTTATCCGTTTTGAGTGTACCATATATCGAATTGTAGCCCTTAACAAGGACAATCCGAAACCACTTTAACCCGACCCAAATCGGAAGTGGACCCCACTCAAATAATTGCCCCAAAATCAACATTTAATGCAATTTTTAACACATTTTCCCAACACAAATAACTTTGTGTATGCACAATGTCTTTATTATCAGAAGATTATATTTCATGTTTTGGAAACATGAAAGCACCGAATACAATACACCATGAAAATACTTCTATACAAAGCACTCAATAATCACGCGCACCGACAATGAATAAGTATTGTGTAACATTTTCAAATTGAATAAGGCTTTATGCCTATTGTAGTATTGTACTCATTAAATGTTTTTGTATTTGTATTAATTTTAATTTTGAACTAAACATTGTCTAAATTGTTGCAATTCTATTGAAATGATTATAATAAATATCGTAATGACATTATAATTTATACAAGTTTAAACTTATAATATAAAACTACTGTTTTTACGATGAAAAATGAGCCTCAATCGGTCTCCCACCCCATAAATTTTTCCTTAAGGTCGGCCAAGTTTGGGATTGGCACCACTCATTCATGCAATTAGTTAATATAAGTGCTATATACTGATTTAAAAAATGGAGGTACTGTTTTAATTGGTTTATATATGTTTAAAATATTCAACTGCAATGTTTTAATTGGTCCTTGGGAACAATATACTATCTATCATACATGTATGATACTCCCTCCGTTCCCATTTTATCTTCCATTTCCCATGTGCACACAATTTAAGAAAAGTAGGTATTGTGTGGTGGAGAGTTGTGCAGAGGAGAGAGAAATGTGTAAGAAATGTTGTGAACCATAAATTCTTTACCAAAAGAGGAAAGTGGAAGTTTAATTAGAACGGATGAAAAAGGAAAGTTGGAAGATATAATAGGAACGGAGGGAGTACCATATAATTTACCTTAGTTTTTTATTGGTCAAAAAACGTGTCCACTATTTTGGATGCTGATGTGGCATTTTGACATTGATGTCAGTATGAAATTTTACAGTTTTCTAGTGGATAGTACATTTCTTAATTATCAATATTACCTCGGGTTGAGCTCGGTTTGTTCGTTTCGATTTGATCCAAAATCAAATATGAAATCAAAGTAAAAAGTTCAGTTCAATTTTAGTTCGGTTTTGCATTTTGACACTTAAAACCATGGTATAATTAATTCAATTTGTGTCAATTCGGTTTTGATGTTTTCAAATTTTTTATTAAAAAATGTCATATGATTAAAATGATGCAATAGTCGGATGAAGTGGGAATCAACCATTTTACATAAGGATGAACACATACTAGATAAAAATAAAACAAGATAAAAAAAGAATAAATCAATATGTCTTGAATAATATTAGTATGCGTGAGAGAAAACATATTTTTCCCCTTTTCTAGAACAAGAGTGTGTATATTCTTATTTTAAATTTTTTGTGACTAGTTTGAAAAAAGTCCATCTACATTTTCTGAGTTATAGTTGAGATTAATATTTATTTTTTTGTCAATATAAAAACATAGGGTTTATAAAAACCAAAGTTACTAGTCATAAGCCGAAAACCGTATCACCGTCATGTAACAAACTCTAAATACACAAGTAAAAGACATAATAGATCAATATAGTCATATCATTGTAGGAAATGAAATGCACTTATAAACTAAACTATTCCACAAATACAATAACTTAGCATTTGTTTAAAAAAGGGAAAAGGGGCAAATAAGTCCTCGAACTAACCGAAAAAGTGCAAATCACCCCTTTTATAGGAGGCTTTGTCCAGCCGTCGTCATTTGGGGCGGTTCCTGGTGGAAGTTTTTGATGAAATTTTTTGAGCATCTTCTGCATTAAGTCTAGTATACTCATACTAAATTTCAGCTGAAAATGCAATCGGGAAGGGGGTCAAATAAATGTTTGAAGATAACTGTGCAATTAAACAACGCAGTATATTTCAGAAAATAATTAGATTGCCTTCCCGTTTGAAGTTTTAGTTGAAATTTGATATGGATAAACTCGATTTTGATTCAGTTTTTGATTTTCGATTTTTGGATCCAACCCTACCTCCATTCCCACTCAACCTTCTTGATATAATAATTGTATTACTCATAACTTTAGATAATATTATAAGTTTTGGAGAAAAATCGACAAATATGTCCTCGAACTATTAGTGATTTTGCATTCGGCCCCCAACCCGAAAGATCTTACACTACTCAATTAATTAAAATCAAGCAATTGAGCTCTTTTTAATGCGGCTATCAATAACGCGGTAACTTTCTTGTGAAAAGGCGTCGACTTCAACAGACAACAAGAGAGTTTCATTTCTTCATTTCAATGAATGGATGATTGTATTTGTGAAGTCTTTTAGTTCAAATATGTAATTGTCTATCGTTAATAGTTTGAGGGCTTACTTGGTAGTTTTCTCTGAACTTTAGTTTGAACGTCTAAAAGAGGAAACGAGTAGAAATGCAATATTTCTCAAAACTTGGGGGCAAATTCAAATTGCACCCCTATGACCATATATTCCTTTTTACCATAAATGAGTCATAAAGTCTACGCTGGATTTCGTAAACAGGTGTATAGTAGTTGTGCTCAGTACTCCAACGATCAACTAAGCCAACCACAGACCGTCCCATCCTTTCCTTTTTGTTCATCTTCTCAACGTCACAAAAACCCCCAAATTCTGCAGTCGATAGATTAGTCTGGTCGAAGATATCGTGCGAAAGGAAGAAATGAAAGGTCCAAGCAGACCGCCGGCGTCGAGTCCAGGCAGAACGGACAACTTCCCGCCGCCATTAATGAGGTTTCTGAGGAGCAATGCAGGGAGCAGAAGCAGGGGAAGGTCACGTTCCAGCCCACTGTTCGTTCGCAAGAAGAACTCATCCGCCGCCATTGAAACCACCGAGGAACCTTCTTCTCCCAAGGTCACTTGCATCGGCCAAGTCCGCGTTCGGAAACCTTCCGTCCCCGCCGGAATCAGCCGCCCGATGTCTAATCGGGAAACCGGAACCTCTAAACAGCCCTGTTGCTGGCCGGTCCATCGAATTCCACCGAAATCCCTAAAGCCCGACTCGATTTGTTCCGTGCTCCGAAAACGGGTCGGGTTCGGGTGTTGTAAGACCGGCGATATCGTCGATTCTCCCTCGCCAGTGGAATCGAATCTCAAAATCCCTCGCCGTGAAGAGATTGGTAGAAACGTTGAGGGTGACGGTTCCGTTTCCGGTTCCGGAGCAGTCGGCGGCGGGGAACGCGCGTCTGGAATTCAATTATTATTGTTGTTCGAAGAAAATGACACATTATTGACTAGGTGTAGATCTGCTCCGTATAAATCTACCTCCCTGGCCTCTAGATTCGCCGAAGCAGAGGAGGAGAAGCCCAGCAGCTGTTTGAATGGAGAAAATGAAGAAGAGGAAGATTTTGGGGAGAAATTGGAAGGGAAAGAAGAAAAACAACAAGAGATTGAAGTAATAAGAAAAAAAGGAGTTCATCCATTGCTGTTGACTAGGTGCAATTCGGAGCCATCTAGAACAGGGGAAAGTTTGAATCCAGACGCAGGTTACTGGAGGCTAAGAAGGTTTGATGATCATCATCTTCATCCTCAGCCTCTGTAGCTCTACTGTTTGTACTTTTATTTTGTTGTAAAGCAAAGTTCATGCAAATTTAGAATAATCATGTGTATAAACGTTTTGTTTGATATTCCAATTCATGTGTATTAACGCTTTTGCCTTGCCTTTTTAGCAGTGCCAAAATACTTTTATAATTTATTCCAAAAGGAAGTACATCATAGAGAAAGTGTGGACTTATATGTACTCCCTCTCATGAGTTTTTCACTTGTCCCTCTCTAGTTCTATTTCGGAAAGAATTAGTATTTGTAAATGAAAACTTAATAATCAAATATCAAGAATAAAGCGAAAATGTGTGGTTGAGTAAGAAAAGGGTAAACGAATGGTACTCATACAAAACTTTATGAAAAGGGAAATCTGAACAATTTTTTGGGACGGTTCAAAGAGGAAATTGGGAACTATTTTCCGGGACGGAAGGAGTATTTCTTAATATCACATTTATCATCAATGACTTTATCATAATATTTACTCATCAAAATTATTTATTAAAATATATTTAAATATTTATTTATTGACTATGTAAATTGTAAAAGGTGCAATTTTTCAACGAATAATTTAAAACACTAAAACTTTCCATTTTTCGTGTAAATCAATCTAATTTCAAGATGAAAACAATAAGGCGATATCAAATTTATTAGAAATACTGAAGAATATATGACTACAATATCGATAATGGTTAAAATTTAAAAATATTGTTTTTATACTTCGACTACAATATTAACTTTTGTGATCATGGCGATATTCAAATTTACATTATGATAATCATGATAATATGTTTACAATAACTTTATTCATATCTTTTGTCTACAAATTTTATCTCAGTGATATTTAAAGAAAATCTCAATTAATTATACATGACTTATATAAAAAGTTTTTTCATCTGAAAAAACTTTGCAATTAGCTCTTACCCCTATAAGCTAAGAATATCTCCGTCGTCCTACTAAACCAAAAATATGTAAACTTTTTTTAGAATAAACCAAATTCTGAATTTTATATCCCTTCTCATAAAGATTTTTAAACATATACTCCGTTTTTTTAGTACTACCTATTTAGATAAGTGAAAATGTACATTCATTCCAAGTTTCCAAGTTTACAATTTATGAGCCCGTTTGGTGACCTCTTTTATCTGTTTATCGGACTTATCAGCCAGCTTTTTCACCAAACACGTAATTTTTTATTTCGCGCGCTGAAGTTTGTAATAAGCTGAAAAAGTAAGGTTGAAGTTACTTTCCGGTTATTTTGGCTGAAGTTTCTGTAGAGGATCATTTCAGCTATTTTTTCATATAACTTTTTATTTAATTTATTGATAACAAATATTTTAAATATAATTTTTTCATAAATCAACAGAATAAGCCAATACAACCACTTCAGCCAGAACTTCATAAATTTCTGCAGAATCAGTGAATTCAGCCAATTTCAATTTTAAGAAACGAGCTCTATAAGTTTAATTATTTCTGAAAATAGTCAAGGGCGGGTATATATATCCTTTGTCACATAATTCAAGGTATATTAATTCTTTTTTTTTTGAATTAAGGTATATTAATTCTTTCTTATCCCAATTTCAAAATACCAACTCCGTACGGCTTTATACATTTTAGCGTGGCATAATTTGTCCGTCACCAAATGGTAAACACATAATTCCAAATACTCAATACACTCTATTTTTGTAGCATAGTGACCACGCCTTAGAATTATTGGTGTTCTACTTATAGTAGAAAGTCAAACTCATCATTTTTTAAGGAGAATTGAAGGTCCAACACCGGATATAAAAGTCGTTTTATTTCCTTTTTATTGCATCATTTTAGCATAGTTGGATACTTGGATGGCACTTATTATGGGACGCTCCAAAGGGCTATAAATGAGGTCTGAATTGTATACTCATTAGGTTAAAATAAAACAAGTGTCATATTCATAGATTCCACGATTTAAGGTGATACCTAAATATGATCTCAAAATAGATAAGTTTAACTTCGTTTATATTGCAATTATATTATACACATGGAAAATGACAAATGAATTGAAACCTATAGGCTTCGGCATTATTTGGAGTAAGCAAAAAAAAATTGAACTATTGAAAAATTGTTGACTCGCATTCTTTTTAAATATTTATAGCATTTTTTCAATACTAATATAAACTTTAATTTGATGAACAAAAAATACTTTAATTTGATCAACCGCAGCATCAACGGCCTTCTCAGCAGTCTTCTCGGCAGCCTTCTCGGCCTCAGCTCTGGCCTTCGCGCAGTGACGGATCTAGGCATCGGAGCTCAGTGTATGCACATAAATAATACTAATAGTATATTACATGAATTAAAAAAAGGCTAAATAAAATATACAGATATAGTAAAAGAAAAAGTACCTTTTATAGCTGTCCTCGACGTGCTTGCATATTTTGAAAGTGCTGAATAATTAACTCATCATCAATGCTATCAAACACATCACTTTTTCTATATAAGGAACTAAACAGTCATTCATCCACTCATCTCCCATCAGATTTCGCAACTCGGTCTTCACAATTTTCATCGCTGAAAAGGCTCTTTCAACCTTGGCGGTAGCAACAGGTAATGTCAATGCCAACTTCAGAAGTAAATAAATTAACTGATAAACACGATGTTTTCCCGTCTTCACCAACATCTCCGCAAGGCAAGCAATTCCTTTCAAGTCTGAAAATTCATCATTACTACGCATATCAATAATATAAGTCTCCAACTGATTTTCAAGAACTACCAGCTCCAAATTTGAGAAATCACTTGGATAAAATGTAGCAAACTCAATCAACTTGAGCTTGTCAAATGCTTCAAAGGACTTGTCTGGACTCAAGCTGCTCAAACAAAGAAGCACCTTAGTGTTGGACTCACTAAAACGATAATTAAGTTCTTGAAGCTGCATATCCACAATTGTATAAAATAAGTCATACTGATAATGCTCCCAGTATTTTATATCCTTAGCTTTGCGCCGTGACCTGCCTTTTGGTATAAATTTATCTTCCATATTAGGAATGTCAAGATCATGAACTCTACAAAATGCAGACACTTCCTCCAATAATGGATCCCATCCATTATCCCTCATATCTTGCAAGCGCCCCTTCGCAATAGATACCAACTGCATCGCATTAAGGATATCTTGATCCTTTCTTTGCAATGCTTGAGATAGTTCATTTGTAATTCCCAAGACGATCTTCATCAAATGCAAAAAGAATGCAAAATCAAAAGTTTGTATAGAGTCTAAATGTCGCATAGCCTCACCCTTTTGATCTGAAGTCACCCCATCTTCTTTGATAACTTCAAGAACATCAATCACTGAGGAATACATTTGAACTAAACTAATCAAGCTGCCATAGTGTGAACCCCAACGAGTTTCACCACTTCGTTTCAAACCAATTCCTTGATTCATGCCTCGCCCAGTCTGAATTTCACCTTTTTCAATTCCTTCTTTAACTCTAGCTGCATGTGTTTCACGAAGCAAGTCGTATCGCTTGCACGACCCCCCAACAATATTGATAAGTGTAGAAATTAAACCAAAAAACAAAGCAACATGATCATGTGTTTTTGCAACATAAACAAGAGCCAGTTGCAACTGATGAGTAAAGCAATGAATACAGAAAGCAGATGGATTTTCTTTCAAAATTAAACTCTTAAGCCCATTAAATTCACCTTGCATATTGCTAGTTCCATCATAACCTTGGCCTCGTATCCTTGATGCACTTAATCCATACTTACTAAATACTAGATCAATCCCCTTCTTCAAAGTCAAAGCACTTGTATCCTTAACATGAACAACCCCTATAAAATGCTCAACAATGCTTCCATTTTTGTCAACATAACGTAAAGCAATGGCCATTTCTTCCTTGATGGATACATTTCGAGACTCATCAACAATAATAGAAAAATATTCATTGCCAAGGTCATTTATAATTGCTTTGATGGTCTCTGTAGCAGCAGCATGAACAATGTCTTTTTGAATCTTAGGGGCAGTTAAGCGATGATTATCGGGAGCGTTTTGTAAAACACATTTTTTTATATCTTCATTACAAGCCGCAAGAACCTTTAGAAGTTCAAGAAAGTTACCTTGATTAGAAGATGCATCAGATTCATCATGGCCACGAAAAGGTAACCCTTGTTACAGAAGGAAGCGAATGCAAGTAAGTGAAGCAGATAATCGACGCCGATATACTTCACGAACTTGATCGGATTGTTTGAGAATGGCAACATCAATATGTTGGGTTTGTTTCATCAAATCTTCACCCCTTCTATAAGCAATATCATGTGCACTGTTTGGCCCTCCAACATGATTCTGAAGTCTACCTTTAACACTCCAATTAGAAAATCCTGTGGTAACAAATGCATCTCCACCGGACTGTTTTCCAAAGTCAGCTCTGAATAGATAAGAATACAAATAATATGCAGCATCCTTATCTATGCTATATTCTAACCAACTTTCAAATTCATTAAACCAAGACGGGCAAAATCTTCTGGACTTAGTACCAATTATTCGTTGAGGAAACTTATGAGTGCGCGGCTGACAAGGCCCTTTTTGTAAATAAAACCTTCTCACTTTATCTTGATCATTTGGATGATAACTACAAATTTTTGGACGTAATCCAGGGTCTGTGGACAAATCATCTAAATTGACCTCAATCCGAGGTTGTTTATAAGCACGAGACCCGCTAGCTTCATTATGAATTACATCACGACTTGCTCTTGTAATAGTAACAAAATTATACATGGACATTGTATCTATAGAAAATGTATAAATCAAAACACGATTATAAATATGAACTACATATTAATTAGGGTTTAATAATTTAAGAAAAAATTGGTTATTGTTGTTCCCCTAGTTACAAATACAAAATTAATAACATAAAAAAGTAAAAGTAGAGTACTAGTTGTTTAAGTATAAAGTATGTTTCAGTACTAGAGATTAAAAATAAAATATTAACAATAATATTAATTAGGCTTTAATAATTTAAGCAAAAAGAAACGAATAAACCTTGTGAATTCCCGATTTCAACTCCGGTCCTCTACTGCTCTGCAATTTAGATAATTGTTAAATAAATTCGAACAATAAATAAACTATAAAAATAATTAGTAACTACAATAAATTAGTAAAGCTTTAATGTAAAAGAAAAAAAAACCTGAAATAGAGATAAGGAGTGAAAATCGCAGAGCCGCTGACCCGCTTTCCGTTG